TACTTTTCCATTTTAATCTAAAAAATAGATACAACGGATATCGTATAAGTAACATTTAACGGGTGCTAATGTTAATAATAGGTTATAAAAATTAAGACAAAATTGATAATACATTGCTAACGCATTGCGATGGAACATTGGCTGATCAATTCATACTCACGCAACACTTTGCAGCTAGAAATCGGCATACAACGCTCGAATCTATGAGGTTCCATATTAATTTTTGTGCCCTGACATATTGGCCCATGTTATAATGTACTTGTGCTAACCAAAGCGCGTCGTTCGAGTCGCCTGTTTGGAGAAACATTTATGTCAATGAATTTTTTTTCGAGGGAAATTGATTGTCCTAAATAAGTAATGTACCAGTCATTGTCATAACTTTGTTTCCCCAAAACACAGCAGTTTCATACAAATTTTTGAAATAAGCGTCATTTCTCCATTGCCGCGTTTTTTCTTCCAAGCTAGAAGCATTACTTGAAGAACTTTCTATACTGCTCCTAGCATCGTAAAATGGAGAACTCTCAAGAATAGGTGACGCGAAAAAATTATTTATAGATTGCGCATGATTCTCTCTGTTTGGGGGATATGGAAGTTTGAAAGGTGGTGGTGGTGAAGACAAAATACTAGGCGACACTGACGAAGGATTGCTTCTGAAAAAGGATTGCGGTGTGGCGAGAGGATCCAAATTTGGTTGAAGTTGCCGACTTCTCGAATTACGAGGTGGGCTTGCATTTGAATTTCGTTGACTCATGTATAAATTAAATGCAAAGATGTATAGTAAATTTATGAATAATAACCATTAAATCTACTTTTTAATTGTGACACATCTATTTTTAACAGGTATATGTTACACAAATCAAAATGATTAAAATGAAAGGTTTAATATATCGCGTATATATTAAATAACGCGTTCATTCGCTAAAGCATTTTCAAACATGTCGTCTAGTCGTTCTCGAGGGTCACTGGGTACATCTCAGTATAGTGAGCGAAGAGAGTTCGATAGTTTATTTAGAGATTTCAACGAAATGATGCACTTGACTGTACGAGGAATTACTTTTGCAACAGAAGCGGCAACAGACCTTGAAGAGGCTGAGGAACAAGAAGAGGTAAATGATATTCTTGTCCGGTAATGACTGATTTGTTTCTTTCAATCTAAACACGCTTATCACATATATTTAGCTCAATCAATTAGATATTATTACGAGAGATTATATTGATCTAGAAAATCAACTCACTTTTCAAAGAACTGCGCTTAATAACCTTAAAATTAAGTTTGATGCAGGGCACAAATTTGCAAGTGATATTTTTAGAGTTTAGTGAATATTTGTATCAATTTTTGTTCTAAAGACAGTATTCTACAATAGGATCTTGTGGAAGATTATGAATCACAATTGGATGATGCTTTAAAAAAGTACGAATCCAAAACTGAGAATGAAAAATATTTTCAAAATGAA